ATGTCTGTTAGTTCTATCTGTTCTAATGCATTGTTCAGTGCCTCTGCCTTCTCACTTATTTTCTGTCTGGCTGATATATCCTTTGGAATGAGTGATGTGTTGAAGTCTCCTAAATTGAATGCATTGAATTCTATTTCACCCTTTAATTCTGTTAGTATTTGTTTCACATATTTAGGTGCTACTATATTAAATGCATAAATATTTGTAACAGATCCTGCTGCTGGACTGATCCCTTTATTATTATGTAGTCCCTCTTTGTCTCATTACTTTCTTTGTTTTAAAATCTATTTGGCTAATATAAGTACTGCTGCTGCTGCTTTTTTCTCCCTTTTATTTGCATGAAATATCTTTTCTAATCCCTTCATTTTTAGTCTGTGCATGTCTTTGGGTTTGAAGTGGGTCTCTTGTAGGCAGCATAGAGACTGTTTTTGGTTTTTTTAATCTATTCTGTAACTTCTGTGTCTTTTGATTGGTGCATTCAGTTCATTTACATTTAGGGTGATAGATATGTATTTATTGCCATTGTATGCTTTAGATTTGTGGTTACCAAAGGTTCAAGGGCAGTTTCCATACTATCTAACATTCTGCTCTTAACTCACTTGTGCTATTTCAAACACAATCTAAAGGTTCTTTTTTTTCTCTTTCTTCTCCTTCCTCCACTCTTTATAAATTAGGTGTCATATTATGTATTCTTTGTGTATCCCTTGACTGACTTTGTGGGTAGTTGATTTAATTTTGCATTTGCTTAGTAATTAATTGCTCTACTTCCTTTACTGTGGTTTTATTTTCTCTGGTGACACCTATTTACCCTAGGATCACTTTCATCTAGAGCAGTCTCTTAAAATACACTATAGAGATGGTTTGTGGATGGGAAATTCCCTCAACTTTTGTTTATCTGGAAATCGTTTAATACCTTCTTCAAATGTAAATAATAGTCTTGCCAAGTAGAGTATTCTTGGTTGGAGGCCATTCTGTTTCATTGCATTAAATCACTCCCTTCTGGCCTGTAAGGTTTCTGCTGAGAAGTCTGCTGATAGCCTGATGGGATTTCCTTTGTAAGTAATCTTTTTCTCTCACTGGTTGCTTTCAATACTCTCTCCTTGTCCTTGATTTTTGCCATTTTAATTATTATATGTCTTGGTGTTGTCTTTCTTGGGTCTCCTATGTTGGGAGATCTCTCCATTTTCATGACCTGAGAGACTATTTCCTTCCCCAGATTTGGGAAGTTTTCAGCAACTTTTTCCTCAAAGAGATTTTCTATCCATCCCTTTTTCTCTCTTTTCTTCTTCTGGTACCCCTATACTGTAAACATTGTTCTGTCTGGATTGGTCACACAACTCATTGTTCTCTCACTGCTAGAGATTTGTTCTCTCTGTGCCTCAGCTTTTTTGTTTTCCTGTTCTCTAATTTCTATTTCATTTACCGTCTCCTCTACCTCATCTAATCTATTTTTAAATCTGTTTATTGCATGTTTTATTTCAGGTACTGTATTTTTCAAAATTTCTCTTCCTTGAAGTCCTCCTTGAGATCTTAAATATATTTCTTTAGCTCCATGAGCAAGTTTTTTACTTTTATTTTGAAATCTTTATCAAGAAGATTGGTGATTTCAATTGCACTTAGCCCTCTTTCTGGCATTTTTTACCTGCAGCTTTGTTAGGAGTAAATTCTTTTGCCATTTTATATTTTTTTAGTGTTTCCTATGGAATAATAACTTTGTGTAGATGGCGCCCTCTGGTGCCCAGAAGCTCTAATCTCTGGAGCTGCCCAGCACCTGCAGCAATGGCAGGGGTCATAGGTAAGCAGAACTGGCCCCTACCAGGAGGAAAGAGCTCTTTCCTGCCTTCCTGGCTGCAATGCCTGCCTCCATTGCCAGGTCCAGTGGGCCAAACACACAGGGAAGAGCCACTTTACCTGCCATAACAGGGCCACCTTCCAGCTGTTCTGGCACAATGGCAGGGGCAGCAGGTATGTCGGACCAGCAATAGCCAAAATTAAGGAGCAGTAGGCTGATTGCCACAGTGGGGGTGCCTCTGGTCTGTCAATAGGGTGATAATCAATAGATATGTATTTGTCTGTCAGTTGACATGCCAGTCAAGTGGATGGAACATCTGAAGCCCCTGAGAGTTCCCCAACCTTCTGGGCTGAGCATGCCAGGATGATTTTCTCCACCTGCCCTTTCTCCTGAGCAGTGAGCTGCCATGTGTCATCTTTGCCCCTTTAGCAGCCCCCTCACTGCTAGGAAGTCTTTCAAACAGCCCACATTTCTTTTGTCCCAGGGGGGCCGGCTGTCCATACCTGTTCCCCACAAGTGGCTGGAATCTCAGTCTCTCCCAGTATTCCACCCATCTTTGCTTTCCAATCCCACTAATATCCAGAGCTCCATGTAATATGAGTTCATGCTCCCAGAGCAGATGTGCACCCAGGGCTGGATGTTCAGCAGTCCTGGGCTTCTACTCCCTCTCCACACTCTGTTTCTCTTCCTTCAGCCTCTGGGCTTGGGTATAGAGGGAGGTCTTGGGTCCTGCATGTTGGATCACAGCTTTGCTACTTTACCGTTTTCTGTGAAGTCTACTCTTTCCCCAGATGTAGACAATCTGTTCTGCTGCCTTCAGATCGCTCTTTCAGGAGTTGTATTTGCTGTATTTTCATGTTTTATGTGCTTTTGGGACAAGGTTTCTGCCTCACTTCTCATGCCACCACCTTTTCCCAACTGAGATATACAATCTTTATTGGTTTCAAGTATATAACACAGTGGTACAACAATGTGAGATGAGTCACAGAATTTCCAGAATCTTCCACCTGGCCTTTGTTCATTTACATATCAATAGATGTTTACATGGACAAGAACTTTTTGCCACAAATCATAGTTTTGCATAAGGTATTAAAGCAGTTTATAATAACTGGAGAGATAATCTATGTTTTGAAGATAAGACAGTATAATAAATATGTTAGTTCAACCAAAATTGACCGAAGCTTTAAATGTGATTCTAATAAAAATTCCAATAACAGTTCTTTAGTTACTTTATGTTTTAACTTGGAAGTTTTATTTGGGAGACCCAATGGCCAACAGCAGTCAAATAATCCCAACAAAGTGTTATCAAGGCTTACTGTAAAGCCATAGTAGTTGTACAGAGCCCCGAAAAGATCTAACCTATATGGAAAGTTGTTACATAACATATTGTAGATTAGAGAGAAAAGGAAAATTTTTCAACAATCAGTGCTGAGACAACTAGTTATCTATATGGGACAACAATGTAACTGCAACTGAACTCTATCTCACGGCATGTATTAGAACATAAGAAAATAAAAGAAATGTTTGAAACTTTTAGAATGTTTTTATGGCTTTGGTACACAGAAGAATTTCCTAAGCAAAACACAAAACATAATAATTCTATTAAGAACTCTTAAAAATTCCCCACTGTAAAATTTAAAAAGAAATGTATTCATTAAATGACACTTTTTAAAAGTAAAAAACCCATAAATTAGAAAAAGAAACTTGCAAATTAAATATCAGTGAATTAATAATAAGAATATATGCAGTTCTTCATCATAACAATAAACAGAAAATCACCCAACAGAAAGATAAGGCAACAGATATGAATAGACACGGTCAGAGAGAGGAAGCACAAGTGGTTAATAAGCATACAAAGGTATGTTCAGCCTAACACTAAGTAGAGAAATGCAAGTTAAAACAAAAATGAGATATTGAGATACAAGTTTGCACTGAAAAGAAAAGCAAGATTATAAAATGAAAGTTAGACAATACCAAATATTGGTGAGAATGGGAAGCACAGTATAAACTCTCATACATAATCTCAGGCCTTGTAAATTTATATGACTGTGATATAATGAGTCATAAGAAATACATACTTGGTCATTAGATGACTAAATATATATTCATATACTTTTTATTTTTTTTTATTTCCCAGGTATATTTGGTCTTCATCCACAGTTCCTGAAAATATTGCAGTCTTAAATGTGAAATGGGTGTTTTTATCATGTTAATGAGAGACTTTGGGACCCCTACCCAAGGGCAGAGGCTGAAAGCTGAATCAGCCAATGGCCAACAATTTAGCCAATCATGACTATGCAATGAAGTCCTCCCAAAAACCCCTGAGAAGAGCTCATTATTCTCTGCTCTGCTCTGCTCTGCTCAATTGGATCCTGCTTCTGAGTCTGAGAAAGCTTCTATGCTTAGGGAACCAGAACACCTCCATGTGCCACCGAGCCAGGCCCCAAGCTCCACAAGGACAGATGCTCCTATATTTGGTACCTTGCCCTGTGTCTCTCTTCATCTGGCTGTTAACTTGTATCCTTTACTAAACTGGTAAACACAAGTGTTTTCCTGAGTTCTGCGAACCACTCTAACAAATTAATCAAACCTAAGGGGGAGGTCATGGAACCTCCAATCTGTAGCTAGCAAGTCAGAAGCACAGGTAACTGCCTGGGGCTTGCGACTGGCATCTGGAGTGAGGGGTAGGGGGCAGTCATGGACGACAGAGCCCTCAACCTAGAGAAACTGGTGCTATCTCTTGGCAGATAACATCAGAACTGAGTTCTACAACATCCTGCTGGTATTCAAGAATTGCCTGGTGCTGTGAAGACCCCCCTCCCACATACTTATACCCACTGGAATCCGGTCCAGGAACCCAACTGAAGTTATAGTACTATTACTGCTGTGTATAATACTGTTACTGTTATATTATATATGGAGGGAAAAAAGACATCATTGCATTTGGTGTCACAGGAGTGGGAATAACAATGGCAAACTACTCATGCAGCTGGGTGGATTTGTGCTGTTGACTTAGCTAAACCGGAATTATGCTTCCCAGCAGACCTCCCTGCTCAGTTATAAATTAATGCAGCCACAAGATATGCTTTGGTAAGACTGTAAGGCAGGAGAAGAGCAGCAGCTATGTTCTTTCTATGCTTGAAAGCTCAGTTCAGAATACCCAGCACTAATGCAGCTTACACATCACCTTACTTATGTGCTCACTCACCGGGGTGGCAAGGGGCACCAGTCTGCCCACAGCTCCTAAGGCTCCCATGGCTTCTGCAAGATCCCCATTGGCCCAGATGCTTGTTAGCTCATGCTGAAGGATACTCTGCTCTAGAAGATATTCTCATCATCAAAGTGGAAGTTCTGGAGGCAGAGAAAGATTTCAGTTTATTCTCCTAGGTTCCAGCTTTTCCTGCTTATCATTTTCCCTTCCCAACTGCCCACCCTGCCGACTTTAGACTTAACATCAGACACAAAACATCAGCTTTATAAAGACTGTTTAACCAGCTCCTACAAATGCATAAGGTCAAGTTCTTAAAATAAATTTCCTATGATACACATCATATCACTCATAGGGTTCTGTTTCTTTGATGTAATCTCACCCATTTCAGCTGACTACGAAATGAAGAAAAAATACAAGTTGTATCAAATATTGGCTTAATATTTCATTAACAGTAAAAAAAAATACCTACCTTACCTTCTTTTTCTGTTATATTTATTTAAGGACAAAATAATACACAAAATCCACCATTTACTAAAACTTATGCTTAAATGCTTTTTTCTATCAAACTCTACTCAGCTCAAATTTACCATTGACAGGAAGTGTAATTCTTAGTGGCACTAGGTCCTCCCTCCCAGAAAAGCAGACACCACCAGCAGGAGCGAAGTACCCAGGGAGCCCGAGGCAGATTTAGTTGTCACCTTACAGCCATAGAGCATTTGTGCAGAGACCAAAGGATTGATCTGAGAAACTGAATCCTAGGAAGAAATCAAAGCCTGGCAGAAAATCCAATACCCAAAGGCAATCTAAAGGAGTTAAATTAAAAAGAATAACACTAGTAAGACAAAGAGATTGAAAAGGAGGAGCAAGGAAAGAAAAGGCATGTAAATTTGAAGTTGATAGGTACAGCCTGGAATAATCCTCTAGAGGAAAGGATGCCAGACAAGGCTGGTAATTTTTCTCATATCTCCTGGTGAGGGCAACATGAACAAGTCACAGCTATGATTTTTCTGTTACATTTTTTTTCATAAAGCACCTCTAGTCTTTTCAGATACCATTGAGAACTTTTTGGAACCCCCAAGAACATGTTGAAAAAAGTATTAGAAATATACTACCTGTAAATTTAAGTGATAGAATATAGATCAACAACAACATAGGTAAGCCTCATATATCTGGATTGCAGTATGTTGATCAATATTTTGATTACCCTAGTATACAAGCATTATGATATTACCAATTTTTTCTTTCTACTTTCTGTATCCACATTCTTGTAATTTCTGTTTTGATGCAAAAATCTGTCCTTAAAATTAGGTATTAAAGATCATCAAAATTCTGCATTGTAATTTTAATTTAATCAAGAGCTAGTTGTCTTATTTCTATGATTATTTTTATGAAGAGAGTTGCCTTTACTTGTATTCCTAATTTTAAAGACTGCACAGTCCTACACAAGATTATTAAAGCTGCAATAGCAAAAAGATAATTAGTGGGTTAATTATCTCAAAATTTTGTGATTATCAGCAACCTTAATGGTAGGTATGTTAACAGTTTTCTGTAAGAACCATTCTTTTAAAATGTTAATTTATAGTTTCACATTCATTATTAAACAAACCTTCGAATATTAGAGAAAGGCTCATTGTCCATTTTGGTGAGCAAACTTAACCAGGAACTCAACTTTAGGATGACAAGATATGAGTATAAATTTTTCTGCAATATTATAAGGAAAGAATTTGTATAATAGGGAAGTAAATACTATCTAACTTTACTTTTGTGTATAAACAATGATAACCGAGAGTTTTGCATTTTCAAAAGCATCTGTGACTCATTGCTTCTCACAATCTCAAAGGTCCACAAAGGCAATTTTGTAGGTTTAGGTTCTACTATAACATGAATTAAGATCAAATTAACAATGTGTGGCTTATAATAATGTACTTCCAGTGTCTAGCCCCTTCTTTTCTAAATAGTTCATCAATTTTTTTTTTTCGCTGGATTAAATTCCTGGCTTTCAGAACAAAACTTTTCTAATCTTGACTCCTGCAATTTATATGACAAACAAAAATCAATACAAATGCTTTTGTTAAAGGTATCAAAGTGAGAAAGCCAGAACCCCTGGAACAGGAAACACAAGAATCCTCGATCCGCATGTACTGATCTTTGGTTTCTGACATTTTAGGGGTTCTGAATTAAAACTGATCTCAAAACCACCCTGTCATCTCATAAACTGCAATGATTACTGGATTAGGAACCCCATTTACAAAGATTCTGAGAACCCTGTATATGCAGAAATGTTTAACTCTTACTTTTTTATACCTCAACAACTGAAACACACAAGATAGTACAACTAATTCATTTTCATAGCTTTAAACATACTATAATTCGAGAAGTATGAATGTTATAGAATTAGCTATTTGAAATTAATCACTTATTTCTTTCAAAAAACCATCTCACTTTTTGTATGAGGAAACTAGAGACCCCAAAAATGTAAACACTGGGCCCAAAGTCATAGATCTAAAGAGAAAATTTGAACAAGAACATAAATATGTGATTTCAAGCTCAGATTATAGTCCAGTTGATCCTCAAAGCATAGGATTTTAGAGGAGAAAGATCATTTAATTCAATCCCTTTATTACAGTGATGAGCAAATTGGGCTACAATGGCTTCCAGGTTTGCTTAGGGTAAGATAATTTTCAATTTGCCAAATAAAGTTACAGAAACCCTGAAAATGTTTCCTATGCTTCTGCACTAAGCAGAAAGCATTGCTTTAATTTATCTAGTCCCAGATAAACTCGCAGCTTTGTTTCAAAACAAGATATATTTCGAAAGCAATTTTCTAACACCAAAATAGTAATTCATTCAGCCAAAACTTACTCACTGAACCAGGCATTTTGTTCTATGTACAGAGGGGAGACAGAGACCGTGAGCAGCCTTTTCAAGAAAGGGGGACAGATGAGCCAAAACTGAACCACCAAGCAAGCGAACAGATAAACACATATGATTACTTCAAGTATTAATAATGCTATAACCAAAAATCTAAATCCAAATGTTGGGTGAAATTTCTAATTTTAACAACTGAAACTCACTTCATTAATAAGTGGCTTGATAGACAGGTTGTTTGAGAAAGAGAGATTTCCTTAACAATTCCTATAGACCACCAAAAATTGCTAGAGGGGGTTATATTGCTTGAGCTCATTTTTTTTAACTGTTTATTTTCCATCAACCTTATTTCCATTTTCTGCTTCAGTGGGCGGAGGAACAGTTCACACTCCCTGGAGGTGACTCCTACCGGTTCTGCAGCCTGAGCGGCCCGAGCTGCAGAGCCCGCTGGGCGCCCAGCCCCGAGGAGGGACGCGCCCGACCCGCGGGCTTCAGACCGCCTGCGACCGCGGATGCAGCAGCAGTAGCCGGTGCGGCCGCCCTGAAATCTTCCTTGGCCCTGGCCTTCTCGGCGGCGGCCTGCTCTCCCTTCCCACCTCCTCAGGGTCTCCGCAGGGTAAACCCGGCGCGACTTCAAGCGGCGACCACGAGAGGGCGCCGCGCAGGCGCAGAACTTCCCCGACCATCATCCACCGCAGCGGACCCAGCGCGGGCTCCCTCGTGGCGCCGCCATGTCCCCGGGGCACAGAGGAGCGTCTGTGTCACGCAGAGCGATGGGAGACGGGAGCAGAAGATGCCTTCTCCCAAGTTCCCCTCAGATTTGTGATGTAGATGCCAGGACTTGTCCTTCGGTATTTGTACTGTACCACTTGGAAGTCAAAGGTGGTGCCACTCAAGTGGACTCCTGCGGCAAGGCACGGGAGGACATCCTCTTGCAACACTAGCAGAACATCAAAGGCTCTAGACATCGTGAATTACCTTTAAATTACCCAGGACAAGCCTTTGGATCCCTCTCTGGGTAGCACGGAAAGGTGAATTCATTTTTTTTTTTTTAAAGCAACAAAGTGTTAGCAGCAGCTTGACAGTCAATGAAATAAGAACAGTAAAAAAAAAAAAAATTGCTTAGAAACAGAACATGGCTTTAACTGCCTTTCTCTCCTTGTCACACATACACGCAACGATTAGCAGGAAAAAAAAAAGCAAATGTAAAGGAAAATAAAGAAACTCATTCTATGAGAAATGCTACAAGAAACCTTGACTTTCTGAAAGTAGTGACTTATGAGTATATCTAATTTCAACGAAAATACTTTTTAGTATTTTAGTATTTTTCCTCCCAGATATTTAGGTATATCACACTATTTTCATATTTCCTAATTTCTAACCATTCTTTTTAAACTTAAATCCCCAAATTATTAAAATCTGAAGCATTCTATTTTCTTATTAAAAGTAATATAGGTCTTTGTTAGAAAACTTCAGAAATATGAATTTGTATAGAAGTAGAATATTTAAAAACATGACCATCTCTTCTACATACCAGAGCTATGTCCTAATCAATCTTCCTTTCAAAATTGCCTCTCCTCCAGCTTAGCTTCCACTTCACAGAAATTCTGACCATTCTAAACTTCAGATGCGATGTTACTTACTTCTGGACCTACAATGTTCACAGGACTGATTTCCTAATTCCCACTACACTCAAGGAGTGCCCAAACCTCTAGTCACTTAGAATGCCCTGCATGTTCCTTCCCCTGCTTTTAATCTCCCTCTTGATCTCTTTTACTGTCTTTATTTCTTTGTCATTACTCTATACCCTCTAAGGCTTTATTCCCATCATTTTCCCAAGGGTACACACTTCCCCCAACTCTAGGCTGTGAGCATGCTGTACCTCTACCTAAAAACACAGAGGCAAGCACTGCCCATTTCACCCACCAAACCAGACTTCTTCCCAGACTGCATCAGCCAATGTCTGGGTTCAGTGTTCATCGGAAGCTTCAGGAAGACCATGTTGATGTCCTCCAATTTGCTACACTGCATTATATTTCTACACATACGTATTAAGTACCTTCTTTGTGCCAGCCATTGCTCTACAAGGAAAAACAGTAAAAGAGAAAAAAAACACACAGCCAATTGGAGTTTACATCCTAATGAAGAGAAACAGACAACAAACAAATAACGCAAGTTAGAGAATATCAGATGTTAATGAGTCCCATAGGCACAGCTGAGAGAAGGAATGTCAGGACATTCTGGTTGGTATCAGGTGATCAGAGAGGGACTCACAGGGCAGACATGTGAAAGACGTAGAAGGAAGAAAGGGAGCAAACCATGCCCATTTCTTAGAGGCAGATATTCCAGGCTGAGGGAAAAGAAAGTGAAAAGGCTGTGAGGTCTTCACACCCCAGTGTTTCCTAAGGTCAACAAGAATGCCACTGTTGGAGTTCACAAAAGAGGAGAACATTTAGAAAGGTTCTACATTTGGGTTTCTCAAATGCTGATATTTTGGACCCAATACTTCTTGGTAAATGACTAATCCAGAGTCATGTCTTGGGCATTGTAAGATATTTAGCAACATCCCTAGTTTCTCTCTACTAGATGATAGTAGCATTCCCTTCTCTCCAGAGCAATGATCGTCAAAAAAACTGCCAAATATTCTGAGGGGAAGATCTTACCCAGTTGAAACTCTGCTAAATATTGTGTGAGGTCTTGCAGGCTACAGTAACATTTTTGACTTTTACACCTTGAGTAAACCACAAGCAGCTGCCAAGACGCTGAGTTCAGAACGATTATGATCTAACTTTATTTTAGAAAATCATTCTTGCTCTGTGTTGAAAATAGACTCGATATCACAGGGCAGATACCAAGAGTACCATGAGCCAATTAGGGGATGATGACGGTTCAGATCAAGAGGAACCAGTGCAGTGGAGGTGATGAGAGCGGCCAGATTCTGGAGTCATTGCATATCTGGCACATTGTAATGCATGAGGGAAATACACAGGAGTGAAGAATAACCCCAATGTTTTTGGCCCCCAAAAGAGAAAGATTGGACTTGCTATCAACTGAGATGGAGAAAGCTTGCAAGAGGCTTTCAGAGCAAGCTCAGGAATCCTATGTGGCTGACAGTAAATATGAAGTTTCTATTAGACATCATGCTGGAGATGCTGAATTGCCCATTGGGTGTATGAGTTTGAATTCCAGGGGAATAATCTGGATTAAAAACATGAATTTTACACAGAATTGATACATACAATTACATAAGATCACCAGGGGAATATATATAATTAGAAAAATGAGAGTGGAAGGCAGGGGGGTGGGGAGAACAGAATCACAAATTGAGACCTGGGCACATCCATTCAACGAGAACAGGGAAAAACAGAAGAAATCAACAATTGAATCTAAGAAGGTGTGTTATAGAGAAGAAGGAAAAGGAAATGAGGCTGGTGTTTGGGAGATAAATGATAAAACAGTGTTAGAGAGTAGGGAATAAGCACCTCTGCCAAATGCTTCTGGTAAGAGGGAAACTGGGAATAGCACTGATTTAACAATGCAAAGATCACTAATGTTAATGCTAAGAGCAGCTTTGATTGAGTAATGGGAGGAAAAGCCTAACTGGAGTGAATTAAGAGGAAATAAAGTGGAAACTGTGCTTGACTCATTACCTGACTGAACCCTCAGCAAATTCTAAATCTAAAAGCAGAGATGGTCACTGTTATTATTTCTTTGAAACTTCAAACTGCATGATAACACATGGGACAGAGTAGGTGCTCCACAATTAATTGTACCCCTTAGGGATATCGTCTATTATTATAGTCGAGAAAAATCTATACTATATAGACAGGTACAGAAATATACATGAAAATTCATAGTCATATATTGAAAATTCTAAGTATTTCATAATTTTAATATTCAGGCAGCAAGGCCAACTGTAAATCATACTGAGATTAGTTTAATTGGTATCATTATAAGTATAAAGGAAATAGGAAAATTACTTTCTAATCAATTGTAAGTTCATTAACTATTTTGCAATTAATTATTTTTCAAAGCAATGAGAAGAAGAGCAGCAAACCCCTTGAAACACTGGTAAAAACAGGTCGAGGCTAATGGAAAAGGAATAAACGTACAAATTTTGGAAAAACAAATATGGACTATGTAATGAAAACAAACCAGTTATTAGGAGCAAAGTATGGTGAAATCAGAGTAAGTACAGCAATGGGTAAAACTGATATAAGTAGCGTGTCAGCAGGAATACATCCAACAATCAAATATATCCAATAATTAATAAAACATTGAGAGAAGACAACAGTTGCCACGGCAGAAGAATCACCTTCAAAGGGTATGGCCACCTTGGAACCACATGTTTGGATTGCTGAAGTGGAGGAATTAGCACAGTGAAGGGATTCTGTAGATTAAATCATATCCCCTTATATTCCCTAGTGATTACCAATTTAAAACTGGGCATAACATATTTTCTTTAAACAATCTGAGAAGAGATAATAAAAGGGTGCTATTATATATATGAAAAACAAAACATAGAACTGCATATAATTTGTTCATCTTTTTACAGAATTTAGACAAGTACAGATAAATGCATGGATTCTAAATTTGCAAATATTCTGATCTTTATTTCATTGAATTTTATCAATATTGGTCATTAACACAAAAGCAAATACTAGTATATTATTTGTGATTCTACCTCCTTGAAAGGATCACAATGTATGTTCATGTAGATTTGGGATAAAGTTCATATTTAAATCCTATACAGTATACAAACTCTTGGCTACAAAATCAGCTGAAAAATCACCTACTATTTTTATTCTATATGCACTAACAATTGTAGAAAAAATTTTAATTAAAAACATTTATTCTTTGTCCAAAACATATGTCTTTGTTTAAAAAAAAGTCATTTTCTAGTGCTGATGACTGAAATAAGGGAAAAGTTAAGTCTAAGACGGTGATAATGTTCAGGCAGAAAACATATTTTTGGTTAAAATAAAACATGAAATTTTAAAGTCTGCAGTGGTTCCAATTAATATCATAAATGAACTCATCATTCTTTCTGATATGTAGAGAGACAAGTAAAATTTGTCAAACATTAGTAAATGCTTTCATTAATACTTCTTTGGGAAAAACTATTTGCTACATGGTATCTTGAGAATATGTCTTAAGGAACTTTAAAAGGTCCACTTGTACCAACCATTCTCAATCAGTATTAATTGTTGAGGTTAAAGAAAATGCCTTTGTATTCAATTGTGCTTATTTAGGACCTACTATTTGGAAAACGGTGGTCTCTGCTGATAAGGACTGTGTGGAATTTTTTCTGAGAATCTTGTGTTCTGAATAGTTTGCCTGACCAAAATTTGAGGACAAAATTCAGGTACATGATATGCTGACTACTTTGAAAATTACATTTTGATGGCACAAGTGTGATATTCAATTTCATTTCTTTTCTAGAGTATTTCCACAATAAAGGTATCCTAGTGTTTCATTAACTCTCATAAGTGTCATTTCCATCAGAATATTTTATTTCTAAGATTTGAGCTATTGAAGTCTTGTTACCCTACTTCTTCCAAATGGTTTCGTATCTAATATGAATGAT